AAATCCCTCCCGCGGGTAGCTTTATCGGCCAAAAACACGTACCGCGGTCAAGTCTCTCGCCCAAAAATCCCGGGTGCAGATACATTTCAGAAATCGCGTCACCGGAAGCTCTTGCCGGCCGATTCAGCTTACAGGGTCTTCAGCAAAGTTGGAGATAATTGAGTCAAGAACCCAGGACAAGTTGAATAAAGGTATTTGGAGCACTGAGCTGAAAGATACGGTCACCGGAAGACAGACCTCTCTCGCATCCATTCCGGAGCAATCCGATACTCCAGAATGATCGCCTGTCCGGAGAACCTTCCGGTCCGATTCAGTTGTCTGGGTCTTCATCAAAGTTGGAGAAGATTGGATCATGGTTCCAGATCAAGTAGAAGCATGGAATTCGGACGCGTGAGCAGAAAGTTAAGCTCGTCGGAAGAAACTCCTGTCTCGCTGCCGTCCTGGACCGACCCGATGTGCTCCGAAGAATGCGAAGGACGGCGCACTTCCAGGCCGATTCGGTTTACGAGGCCTTTATGAGAATCATGATATTTGAGATCTTCTTTCCAGAACGTCCAAGATCATTCAATTCGGATCTATGAGCAAGAAGTTAACGTTTCCGGAATGGACACATGTCTAGATGTCTCTGATCGTGTAAATGCACTGCGAAGATGAGCTCTCCAGGAAGCCTTCCAATTCCCAAGCGCCGGATCTTTCTTCACTAAAGTTGGAGATATACGAGTCTTCTGTCCTCTGAAACCGGAATCACACAATTCAGACCAGTATCCTGGAAGTTACGCCTCCCGGAATGCGGAGTGGTCCAAGCTGCTCTGAATGCTGCGAGATAGTCTTGCGACTTGGTTAACTCGCAGGCCTGAAGATGAATGCCTGGAAATTGATGCTGCGAGTTGAGAAGTGCGGGTAAGCTATCACTGGATAAGGTCTGAGGATCCCGAGCAAGAAAAATGCTAAGTCCACAATCATGCGAGTTGGCCGCGCTTGAAACTAAGCCGCACGATCACTCGCAATCTACTCCGACTTGGGCATGCGGCTTGGACTAAGGGATGACCAAGTTGCACATGTACATTCCCCAGAAACCGCCTTGGTCCTGCGAGTTGAAGAAGAAGAAGATTAAGCCGCACAAAGACTCGCAAAACACACCTACTTGGGCGTGCGGCTAAAACCAAGCGATTTAAGTCTCACAAGACAAGTTCTTCACCTGTGCGACTTGGGCATGCGACCTGGGAGACACTGGACCAACCCGCACATTCCCCACTTTACCCACTAAAGCCGGGTCAGGACCCGGTTTGTTCCGGGCTGACCTGGTTCATTAGCACTTAGTATATATAGCTTTTTGGAGAAAAACCCTAGACATCTTATCTTCTACTGAGTTTTCTCTCTTGTTTTCTTTCCTTTTCAGTGTAAAAACGAGTTTTATCAGGAGATATCTAGCAGATTTAATCATCTTAAGGCTGTTTCTTATCATCTCATCATCTCATTTCTACTTCTAATCATGATTAACATCATCTCTTGCAAAAGATTAGATTTGTTCTTCATGATTAGTGAGTAGTCATCTTTTAAGCTTCTAGGTGTGTAGATTAGGGTGCTTTGATGTTTGATTAATGATGTTTAGGTTCTAGATTCTCATTTCCTTTCCTTAGTTAGCTGTTCTTAATGCTAGATCTCTCATTATAAGCTTGATCTAGAGCTTAGGCATTTCTCCACCCACAAGGTGTTTGATGAAATGCCTGAAAGAGCTAACTTAAGGGTTTATGTTTTAAATGCCATGGGAATGTTTGTTTAAAGCATAAATGACATATTAGAACTGTTTATTAATGCATATTGATCATCATTACCACTAATGAGAGTTAGGTTTGAATGCTGATTAGTATAGTGATCATTGTCTTGGGAAAGAAATGGTCTTACTTTAAGTTCTAAGTTGATTGGAATTTGAGATCATGTGATGCTTGCTTTATCTTTCTGTATAAGATTCAGTCTTTCTTAGCTCTTATTTTGATGCACAAAGAGGCTGTTTGGTCATGTTAGACTTGGAACCTTATGCTTATTAATTGCTTATTCACTAATGGGAATTAGTCTTGATTAAGTAATTTGCAAAGAGATTTCTGTCATGAGAATGAATAATCTGCTTTGAAAGTCTAGACTAAAGAATTTCAAGTGTTGCATTGTTTTCTTAGCATCATGAGTTAAGAATTGAAAGCACCCTTATCAATGATCACATCTAGAGGTTTAGCTTTCTCTTTATTTTGAATTTGAGTCTTTGTTTTGTTTGTCTTGTTTGCTTGTTTAATTCTTAATTACTGCTTGTTCTTGTTTGCTTTATGGTTTTAGATCACCGTGTTACCAACTTATCTGTTTAGTTAGACTTGGATTAAGAATTGATCCTCATAGTCTTAGTGTCTAGAATCTCTCCATTTGGATTGATACCTCAAGTGCTACAATGACATGAGTAGTTGAGGAATTGATCAAGGATTGAAAAATTCCTCAAGTCATTTTATTTTGTTTTACTAATTACCTTTCAGGTGCTGTCTTTGTTTTCAGGTGTATGACCACAAGAAGTCAAGCAAGGAGACAAAGAGAAAGAGCTGAGCACATTGAGAGGTTGGGTATGGATCAAGGGCAACAGGCTCATGGTGGTAATGGAAACCACCAGGATCAGCAAGAGGGTCCAGCAGCACGTCCAAGAATAGTTGTGGGAACTGGTGATGAGGCCAATACTCAGGGTCAGAGACATGGGATTGAAGCTCCTACACCTGAAAACGATTTCGAGATCAAATCTGGCTTGATCAACATGGTGCAATCAAACAAGTTCCATGGCTTGGCATTAGAAGACCCATTAGATCACATTGACAACTTTGATAGAGTCTGTGATCTAACTAAGATGAATGGAGTGAGTGAGGAGAGTTTCAAGTTGAGGCTATTCCCTTTTTCTCTAGGAGACAAAGCTCATCAATGGGAAAAGTCTCTACCTCAAGGATCAGTCACAACATGGGAGCAATGCAAAAGAGCATTTCTAACCAAGTTCTTCTGTTCATCAAGAACAGCAAGGTTAAGAAATGAAATCTCAAGTTTTATTCAGAAGAACCATGAATCCTTTTGTGAGGCTTGGGAAAGATTTAGAGGGTATACCATGCAATGCCCTCACCATGGATTCTCAGATGCTCAGCTGCTAAGTACCTTCTACAGAGGTGCTTTACCAAAGGTCAGACTACTCTTGGACACTGCTTCAAATGGTAATTTCATGACCAAGGAAGTCAATGATGCCATGACCCTTGTGGAGAATGTAGCTCAGAGTGATGAGCTTTATGGAGCAGAGTTTGACAGGAATTCAAGAGGTGCTGTGTGTGCTGAAGAGGAAAGAACAAGGAAAGACATCTGGTCTCTCAATGAGAAGCTAGACAAACTTCTCTTAGCTTCTCATAAGTCAGTCAACTTGATTAGAGATGTGAATCATGTGTTTCAAGACACTAAACCCTGCACATTCCCCACTTTACCCACTAAAGCCGGGTCAGGACCCGGTTTGTTCCGGGCTGACCCGGTTCATTAGCACTTTGTATATATAGTTTTTTGGAGAAAAACCCTAGACATCTTATCTTCTACTGAGTTTTCTCTCTTGTTTTCTTTCCTTTTCAGTGTAAAAACGAGTTTGATCAGGAGATATCTAGCAGATTTAATCATCTTAAGGCTGTTTCTTATCATCTGATCATCCTTGGGAAAGTGAAATCTGGGTTCATAGGCATTTCATGCACCAAAAGTGTTTGATGAAATGCCTGAAAGAGCTAACTTAAGGGTTTATGTTTTAAATGTCATGGGAATGTTTGTTTGAAGCATAAATGACATATTAGAAATGTTTCTTAATGCTCATTAGTTCAGATTTCACAAATGAGAATTTGGTTTGAAAGTGGATTAGTGTAGAGATTAATGCCTTCATGAGAGGATTAGTCTAGATTAGAGTTCTAAGTTGAAATGTTTGAGATTATGTGATTGCTTGTTATTTCTCTCTGTGTAAGATTCAGTCTTCTTGGTTGAGAGATTGTTTGGTCACTTATTAGGCTTGATGCATTGTGCTTGTTGATTGCTTGATTATATCTAATGGTTGTTAGACTTGATTAAGTGATTAGCAAAGGGATTATTGTCATGGGAATGAATTAATCTGATTAAGAAGCCTAGACTAAAGAGTAGCAAGTGTTGCATTATGTTCTTAGCATCATGAATCAATATCTAAACCACCCTAATCAATGATCACATCTAGAGGTTTATCTTTCATCATTTGCTTTATCATCATTTTGTTTGCTTGCTTGCTTAGTAGTTCATTAATCATTTCTTGTTTGTTTCTTGTTTATGCTTTCTTGTTGCTGGTTTCACCAAACTCATCTTTTATTCAGCTTGACTTAAGAACTTGTCACATAAACTAGTGTCTAGCAAACACACATTTGGATTGATACCCTTTGTACTACAAGTGACATAAGGGATTGATAACCTTTATTAAGGCCTTGAAAACCTTAGTTATCAGTCGACATCGAGCTCAGTCATCTGCTCAATCTGTTGGGAATCTGGAGAGCCCCGGGAGGAAGCCGATTTTATATTTCCAACAAGTCCAACCGTCGGATCATAGGTGGTTTCCCGAGCAAAGATCAGTTTTGGACTGAATGTTTCTTCTACGTTTTGGTGAACGAGGCATCAATGGGCGAGGATTTTGTAAATAAGACGAAGACGGTTTGGGGACCACTTGGTAGTCGATCCGAAGCCTTGTTTCGGCTCGGAGCTTATTGTGGTGCGATTTCCATCTTCTAACTTAGTCGTTCTGATGTTGTTATGCAGTTCAGAGTTTTCTTCCCCCTGTTCCCAACTACCTTTTCTCTGTTCGAGATACTCTTGCGGCTCGGAAGGTTAACTGGAGAAAGCATTTTTCTTTCGAGAGAGTAGAGAGAGCCCGAGCTATCTTCGACGGGGTATCCATCAGTTCTTCTGCATCAAATTCATCAGGAGACACGTGAGAGAAGATGGTGATCATTACGCTCAGGGATAAGAAGCTACGCGAAGCCAAGGAGATTGCTAGGAGATCTGAACGAGCAGCTCTTACAGAGACCGAGGCGGTACCTCGTGATGATCCGCCGAGGCATGAGGGGGACGAAGTCGCCCGAGCTGCTGATGAGGTTGCTCCCGAGGCGACAGCACAGGAGGCAGCGCCCGAGGTGGAGCCGGACGAGATTGTTCCCGACGCGTCTGGAGAAAATTCCGCGGCTCGGGACAAAACGCCGCCTTCCTCGGCGATTCTGGCTCTTCCAAAACAATTGAGGCCTCCGGCTTTGGATCTGCTGAAGCATGATTCCAGCAGGAAGAGATCGGCCACGGAAAAGGGCAAGGGCGCGGCCATCCAAAAGGACGAGCCATCCAAAAAGAAACGTAAATCGGCTCCCGACGAGCCCGCATCTCGTAAGCTGGTAGTTGACGACCCGACTGCCTCCGCGGTAATGTTTGCCCGCTTCAACAACACAAACACACGTCTTCCGCCCCCTGAGCAGTTGAGGCGGTCGAAGTCCTATGCTGCCATGGCGCAGCGCGGTACCAAGGTACTTTTCTAATTTGCTTCTTCCTTGATATCATGTAATCTTTGAATCTAAGGAATCACCACTTTTGCAGTTGTCGCGGCTATCAACGAGATGATGGCCGGTTATGAATCAGACTTGGTTAAGGACGAGCGCTGCTTGGAGGAGGCTCAGAAGGAAGCTGCAACGGCTAAGGGAAAATTAGACGAGGCGAGGGACAGAATTAAGAAGCTTGAAGAGGAGAAAATAACTCTCCGAGCCAACGTTGACAAGGTGTCTTCCGTGGTGGCTCGCCTTGAAGAATCTAGGAGAGCCAAGAGTGCCGAGGTGGCTTTATTGAAGAGACGCATCGAAGCTAAAGATGCTTTATTCGACGCTAAGGTGAAGCGGGCCACGAAGGAGGTGAGGCGCGAGTTGACGGCTAGGTTTCAAGAGCGTCTCACTAAAGTGGAGGAAGGTCTGGCCAAGCTGGAGAAAGCCAAGAGCGACGAAAACGAGCTTGGACAGATCAAAGGGAACCTTGCTATGATCGAGGAGCTTCCAAGCCCGACGGATCTTTGGACTCTGAAGAGGCAAAGCTGAAGGCTTGGGAGGCCGAGTACGTTGACGACGACGCGTACGACCGCATTGCGTCTGAGATCCGAGGTGGCTTGGTGTTCTCGCCAGTATCGCCAGATTCCGTCGATACCCTTTTAGGTAACGAGCCGATCGAGGAGATGGCGGCTAACCTCGGTGTCCAGGATCTGAACAGGTGTAACGCGGGTACTCCTGTTCCTTCGAGCCTCCTTGCTGAACGAGAGACGCGTTCTGCTGCTTGACCTCTCTCTTCCTTCCTTTATCTTTTATATTCGCCCTTTTGTACTCAGCATCTGGATAGCTTTATCCTTCTTTCGAACTCGTCTGTTACTGTGATTGGTGCATGGACGGCTTTATCCATTTGACTGTTGATTTTGAAGGTATGTGTATACGTACCCACTCCCCACCCCCTTTTTAGGAGGGGGGACAGCTGAACCCGTCCGAGGATGGGCTACCTACATACCTTTTGCAGGGATCAAGCCGTCCCGTAGTTCATGTTGACCGTGTTGTAGCCTTTGTGATAGTACTTCTTCAGGTGGATTGCAATCCATGATCTTGGAATCGCTTCGTCAGCTACCGTCGCGAGTTCGTAGACTCCTGGGCAAACTACTTTTGTAATCTTGTAAGGACCTTCCCAGTTTGCTCCGAGCTTTCCTGCATTCTTCTCGGCAGTGTTTTGGAAAACCTTTCGAAGGACGAGCTCTCCTTCTTTGAATCTTCGACTACAAACATTTTTGTTGTAGTATCTCGCGGTTGCTTGTTGATAGTTTTGGATTCGGATTAGAGCCTGGTCGCGCCTTTCGTTGACTAGATCGAGCTCATCCAACATCATCAAGTGATTCAAGCCCTCCTGTCCTGGTAGAAGTCTTCGTCGAATACCCGGCAAATCCACCTCGTGGGGAATTACGCATTCCGCTCCGTAGACTAAAGCGAATGGAGTTTTTCTGATGGCTCGGCGCGGAGTTGTTCGATGCGACCAAAGGACTCCTTCGAGTTCGTCTGCCCATCGTCCTTTCTTTGCGTCGAGCCTCTTCTTCAGACCATCTAGGATCGTCTTGTTGGCTGCTTTGGCTTGTCCGTTCCCTTGAGGGTATCTTGGCGTAGATTTACTGAGACGGATTTTCCATTTCTCGCAGAAAGGTTCAAAGCGCGTCGAGATGAATTGGGATCCGTTATTGGTGACTATCTCGTAGAGGACCCCCTGTCTGCAGATGATATTTTTCCAGACGAAGTGTTCGACTTGAACATCCTTTATGCTTGCGTAGGAATCGGCCTCGACCCACTTGGAGAAATAATCCGTTAGGACGAGCAGAAAATGCTTCTGCTTTGATCGATGTAGAGGTCCGACTATGTCCATCGACCATCTCATGAAAGGATAAGGTGACGAAATTGATGACAGCAGCTCGGTAGGTTGATGAATTGTTGGTGTGTGCCGTTGACACTTCTCGCACTTCGCCATAAATTTCTCGCAGTCCTTGACCATCGTAGGCCAGAAGTAACCGTGCCGTTTTATCTTGATCGCGAGCGACCTTCCGCTAGAATGGTTTCCGCACGCGCCACTGTGTACTTCGTGCATGATCTTTCTTGCCTCCGGTCCTTCGACGCATGTCATGAGAGGTCCTGAAAATCTCCATTTAAACACCTCGCCGTCGACGAGGACATACCGCGCGGCCTGAGCTTTTAATTTGTGGGCTTCCCACTTGTCGGTTGGCACTTCTCCATCGGCGATATATACTCGGATGGCTCCGAGCCACTCTTTGTCGCAGCCGTATTCCAGTTCGGCTGGTGAGGCGTCTGCGTCCATAGCGATGGCTTCATCGTTCTCTGGTTCTTGTTCGGGAGGATTTATCAAGGAAGAGTTGGTAGCCGAACTCCTTCTACCTCTTCGATGCTAGGACGTTCGATGAATTCAACTGGAATCGTCCGTTGGAGATCCGGGTCTGAGGTCGAAGCAACTGCTGCCAAGGCATCGGCCGAGATGTTTTCTCCTCGGGGTATTCGTGTGAGCTCAAACTCGTCGAACTTTTGCACCAATTCTCGGACAACCTTGAGGTAAGCTCCCATTCGTCAATCCTTCGCCTCATATTCTCTGTTGAATTCGCATGCTACGAGCTGTGAGTCGCAAAAGGTTCTTATCATTCGAACTCCGATCCCCTGCGCTAGTCGTATATCGGCAATCAGCACTTCGTATTCCGCTTCGTTGTTTGAGGCGTGGAAGTTCAGGCGAAAAGACTGCTCCAATATCTCTCCTGTGGGAGAGGTGAGACGGATTCCTATTCCTGAGCCGTGTTTAGACGACGAGCCGTCGACGTGCAGCATCCATACTTCGTCTGGGGTTGGCTCGTTTGTCGCTTCGACCGGAAGTTCGATGAGAAATTTTGCAAGCACCTGTGATTTTGCAGACCACCTGTTCCGATACTCGATATCGTACTCGCTCAACTCTATGGCCCATTTGGCGAGCCGCCCGGATTGGCTCGGGCTGTGCAGGATAGAGCGCAGTGGAAGTGTAGCGAGCACAACAATCGAATGTGATTGAAAATATGGACGCAGTTTGCAAGCCGAGAATACGATGGCTAGGGCGACCTTCTCGATCTGGGGGTAGCGGGTCTCGGCGTCGGTCAGTGTCTGGCTGACGTAGAAAATGGGTTTTTGCTCGGACCGTTCTTCTCTGATAAGCACCCCACTCACAGCTGTAGCAGATACGGCGACGTAGAGGAAGAGGGGCTCTCCTTCAACTGGTTTTGCCAAGATCGGTGGGCTCGCCAGATAATTCTTCAATTCTTGGAAAGCTGCTTCGCATCGCTTGTCCCCCTCGAATTTCTTGTTTCCCCGAAGGGTGTCGTAGAAAGGCAGGCACTTGTCGGTGGAACGGGAAATAAACCTGTTTAGTGCAGCGATCCTTCCTGTGAGCCTTTGCACTTCTCGCTTCGTCCTTGGAGAGGGCATCTCGATTAATGCCTTGATCTGTTTGGGGTTCGCTTCAATGCCTCGGTGAGATACCAGATAGCCGAGAAACTCTCCTGAGGTGACTGCGACCCTACACTTCGCCGGGTTTAGCTTCATGTTGTGTTTGTTCAACTGCTCGAAGCATTCTCGTAGATGCGCGACATGGTCTTTTTCTTCGAGTGATTTGACTAACATATCATCGATGTATACCTCCATGGTTTTCCCGAGCTGAGCCGCGAACATTTTGTTGACGAGCCATTGATATGTTGCTCCTGCATTCTTGAGCCCGAACAGCATGACTTTGTAGCAGTATATCCCGCGATCAGTTCTGAATGCCATTTTTTCCCGATCATCAGAGTGCATCATGATCTAATTGTAGCTGGAGAACGCGTCCATAAATGTTAACAGCCTATTTCCCGCAGTGGCTTCGACGAGCCGGTCGATGTGCGGCCGAGGGAAACTGTCTTTTGGGCATGCCTTGTTAAGGTCAGTGAAATCTACACAGACCCGCCACTTGCCATTCTTTTTCTTCACTACCACCGGATTTGCAAGCCAGTCTGGATACTTGGCATCGGCGACTGATCCTACTTTAAGCAATCTCTCCACTTCGTCGTTAACTGCTTAAGCTCGTTCGGGTCCGAGCTTCTTTCTTTTTTGCTTGATTGGTGATATATTCATAAATTGCATCATTTAATGTACATATTCTAGTCCAAATTATGTCTCATTTGCATACATTTTAGGTCTTTAGGCATTGTTTTAGGAATTAGGAGATTGCATTAGGTCCAAGAGAGTTTTGCATGGTTTAGAGTGTTAAACAGGTGCTTTTGGAGCTTATTTGGAGTGGAGGATGTGATTCAGATGAAGAAATGGAGTTGAAATGATCAAAAATGGTGAAAAGGAGCAATTTTGGGTTTCTAGGCAAAATGATGTACTGATGGCCGAAGATTCTCGGCCAAAATCCTTCCCGCGGGTATCTTTCTCGGCCAAAAACACGTACCGTGGTCAAGTCTCTCGGCCAAAAATCCCGGGTGCAGATACATTTCCGAAATCGCGTCACCGGAAGCTCTTGCCGGCCGATTCAGCTTATAGGATCTTCAGCAAAGTTGGAGATAATTGACTCAAGAACCCATGACAGGTTGAATCAGGGCATTTGGAACACTGAGCTGAACGATACGGTCACCGGAAGACAGACCTCTCTCGCATCCATTCCGGAGCAATCCGATACTCCTGAATGATCGCCTGTCCGGGGAACCTTCCGGTCCGATTCAGCTGTCGGAGGCTTCATCAAGGTTGGAGTAGATTAGATCACGGTTTCAGAACAAGTAGAATCATGGAATTCGGACGCATGAGCAGAAAGTTAAGCTCGTCGGAAGAAACTCCTGTCTCGCTGCCGTTTTGGACCAAGCCGATGAGCTCCGAAGAACGCGAAGGAAGGTGCACTTCCAGACCGATTCGGTTTCCGGGGCCTTGATGAGAACCAGAGATATTTGAGTCCTCTTTCCAGAACGTCCAAGATCATTCAATTCGGATCTATGATGAGGAAGATACGGTCTACGGAATGGACACATGTCTAGACGCCTGTCTCTGATCGTGTAAATGCACTGCGAAGATGAGCCCTCCAGGAAGCCTTCCACTTCCCAAGCACCGAAGCTTCCTTCACCAAAGTTGTAGATATATGAGTGCTCTCGCCTCTGCAACCGGAATCACTCTCCGGAATGCGAAGTGGTCTAGACAGCCCTGAATGATGCGAGCTAAGTGAAACATGACACGGTTTGAATACCACGGTCTGGGACTTGACCGTGGCAACTTTTACACACCTTCGGAGATTGACACGATCTTCATGCCACGGTATACACTTGACCGTGGCAAACAAACACTTGGCTGGGAGGAACTTTACAAGCATTCGGGTTTTGACACGGTTTAAATGCCACGGTCTAGGACTTGACCATGGCAACTTTTACACACCTTCGGCTTTTGACACGACCACTTGCCACGGGGCTTGACCAAGAGCTACTAGACCGTGGCAATCCAAGAAGTTCATCACCCAAACCCAGAAAAGAAGAGACACGGCCACTAGACATGGTGTAAATCAAGCCATGGCAACCTTGATCATGAAGAATCTGTCCAAGAACTTTGACACTATCAGTTTGCCACGGTCAGTTTGCCACGGTCTGTCCAAGCATCATCTGACCGTGGCAAACCACACCACTATCCATCAAAGTCAGGACCCGGTCCGCAAGAGACACTATATATGCTTTTTAGGGTTTTTTCCAAGACTTAAGCTTTGTTTTCTCTTGTTTCTCTTTCCCCTTTTGTTAAAAAAACGAGTTTGTTAAGAGATATCTCAAGGATTTAATCAATCTAAGTCTGTTTCTTATCATCTCATCTTCTTATCTTTGCTTCTAATCATGATTAACATCACCCCTTGCAAAAGAAATGGTGTGTTCATCATGATTAGTGAGTAGTCTTCTTTTAAGCTTCTAGGTGTGTAGATTAGGGTGCTTAGATGTTTGATTTGTGATGTTTAGGGTCTAGATTCTCATTTCATTTCCTTAGTTAGCTGCTCTTAATGCTAATCTCTCATTATAAGCTTGATCTAGAACTTAGGCATTTCTCCACCCACAAGGTGTTTGATGAAATGCCTGAATGAGCTAACTTAAGGGTTTATGCCTTTTTCATCATGGGAATGATTTGTTAAATGCATGAATGACATATTAGAACTGTTTCTTAATGCTCATTGATTCATATTTCACAAATGATGATTTGGTTTGAAAGTGGATTAGTGTAGAGATTAATGCCTTCATGAGAGGATTAGTCTAGATTAGAGTTCTAAGTTGAAATGTTTGAGATCATGTGATTGCTTGCTATGTCTTTCTGTATAAGATTCAGTCTTTCTTAGCTCTTATTTTGATGCACAAAGAGGCTGTCTGGTCATTTTAGACTTGGAACCTTATGCTTGTTGATTGTTTATTCATCTAATGGGAATTAGTCTTGAATTGGTAATTAACAAAGGGATTTTTGTCATGAGAATGAATTAATCTGATTTGGAAGTCTAGACTAAAGAATTGCAAGTGTTGCATTGTTTGCTTAGCATCATGAATTCACATTTAAAGCACCCTGATCAATGATCACATCTAGAGGTTTAGCTTTCTCTTTATTTGAATTTGAGTGTTTGTTTAGTTTATCTTGCTTTTTTTAATTCTTAATTACTGTTTGTTCTTGTTTGCTTTATCTTTTTAGATCACCTTGTTACCAACTCATCTGCTTATTAGACTTGAATTAAGATAGATCCTCATAGTCTTAGTGTCTAGAATCTCTCCATTTGGATTGATACCTCAAGTGCTACAATGACATGAGTAGTTGAGGAATTGATCAAGGATTGAAAAATTCCTACTATCAATTGGTTTGAAGGTTGGGTCCACGTTCAGCTCGTGACAGGTCACGTCGATGCTTATGCCCGGCATGTCTTCCGCTGTCCAGGCAAAAGTGTTGATGTTGAGGAGAGAAAGAAGTTCGCTTCTCAGAGGTTCTTCTAGTTTTGCTCCGATTTCGACGCATCGCTCCGGACGCGCTTCGTCTATGCACACCGAGTCCACTGCATCACATACCGGCTCGGCGCGCGTTTTGCGGCTCTCCACGATCTGTAGTTGCTATAAGAGTTTCGAGAGCTCGTTCGCAGGCTCTCGGTCTGTCTTCATCTTTTTGCGATCTACGTCCGCTCGTGCGTTGGCGACGGGATTCCTCAGCTTTTGCTCCGCTAAGCAGCACGTTCGCGACTCCTTCTGATTTCCCCATATCGTTTTGAGGCAGAGATGATAGGTGGAAGGGACCGCCCTCATCCCGTTGATCCATGGAGTTCCCATAATCACGTTGTAGATTGCTGGGTGATCGGTGACGCAGAATTCGACGATCTTAGTGACTTTGCCAGCTACCACAGGGAGCCTGATCGTTCCCATAGTCATCGTTGTTTCCCCTGAAAATCCGGTTAAAGGTTTGGGGATCGCCGTCACTTCGGAGAGATCGATTCCCATCCTTCTGAGTGTCTCCCTAGCGTTCACCGAGCTCCCAGTATCAATGGGCACCCTCGCCACATCGTGATCCTTGATCGTTAATTCAATCACCAGCGGATCGTTGTGGGGTCTGTCGATTCCTGCCGTTTCCTCCTCGGCAAAGAAGATCACTGTATTCGGATGTCGGTCGGTTCCGTCCAATTCTCCTTTGCTTCGGCTCAGCGCTGATAGGCTTTGATGGAGGACACCGTGTCTTGGTAATATTGAGATCCACCCATGATCATGTTGATTCTTTGCCTCGGCTCGGGTCGCTCTTCGGGTTCGCCTCTCCTATCGCGCTTGGTGTTATCACCGCTCGGCTCGGCACCTTCTTTTGGTTCATTAGGGACGAGGTCTTTGAGTTTAACCGCGTTCTGGAGTTCTCCTGCCGCCATCTTAGCCGCGAGTTTCGCTCCTAAATTTCGGCATTGTGCCGTTGAATGCCCGTAGGTCTGGAGATATTCGCAGAAAGCCTTTTCGTCGTAGTTGGTGGGCTTTCTTACCCAAGTGTTGTTGCGCGGCTCTCCTCTCCCGCGTCCGGTGCCTACTTGGTAGTTATGGGCACCTCCGCTTCTAGGATTGTCTGAGCTCTGCGTTGTTGCGTTGTTTGATGGGTTGCCTTTCTTCGAGGGGCGCGTCAAAATTGAGCTTCTGATCGCCACTTTCGTTGCTTCGTACTGCTCATCCAGATTCTTCATCTCCTCCTGTTTACGACGAAATCTGATGACCGATGCAAGGCATCTTGAATCGTTTGTGGCGTGTTGAGTGCCATTTCCCGTCGGAATTCGGATTTGTACCACAAAGATCATTTCAGAGCTTCGAGTGCAGCCTTGTCGCTTATCCCTTCTATTTTGGATACGACTGCCTTGAATCTTGCCATGTAATCTCGAAGCGGTTCGTTTGGTCCTTGGGATAGCGTCCACTGGTCGGCATCAGAAGTTCCTCTATCCATAAACATCGAGTATTGTTTAAGGAACAGGGCGGAGAGCTGTTGAAAACTACTGATTGAGTTGCGCTCCTGCCTCGAAAGCCACTGATAACTTAAGGTTTTTAAGCCTTTATAGAGGTTATCAATACCCCTGTCTTTGCAGTACAAGAGGTTATCAATCCAAACTTGTAGTGGAGACACTATCTATGTCATTTGTAGCTTTAAGTCAAGACGGAGTGATAAAGGGTTTTTAGCTAAACTAAATGACAAGCGAATAAGAATAAAAGTAAAGCAAATGAAGAGATTTAAACAAAGCTAAGATGCAAATGACAACTAAACGATTCAGATGATTATAATGAATGATAAAGGCAGAGACTTTAGACAAGATAATCGACTCAGGTGCTTCCAAGCTAAACTAGTGGGTTAATGAATCATTTTATCACGCGGTTTCATTTAACTTTGAACTCAAGGCATGTTAATCTTCTCATGAAAGTATTAAGCATCTAAACTGATCCTCCTTCATACCAAAATGTCTTTTGGGAAGCACGAATCAATCAGCAATAAGATTCAGTTCAAATATGTCATTTAAGAGAACAAACTATCACTCTCGCGATGAAAGACTCTTAAACCTTTAACCGAGTGGTTCAGACATTTCTACAAACACTTTTGATGCGAGATATGTCTCAGATCTGAACCTCAAGTGATGTGCTTGGATCCAGCCTAGAGATCTCGTCGGTTAAAGAATGAAACATGCAAGACTAGACACCTAAACCCACTAATCTATCTTGAAAGCACCCTAATCTACTCATCTAAAGCGGCTTAAACGACTACTCACTGATCATAACGAGCTCACTAAGTCTTTTGCTAGACGTGTAGCTTGTCATGATGAGGAGTTTGATGTTGGATAATAAAAGAAATAAAGAAAGAACAAGATTCTGATGCAAAAACGAGATATCGGATTAGATTAATCAGGTTTCACAAAAGAGGCAAGTTCTTAAAGCTAAAAACAGATAAGAGATAAGATGATTAGGTTTTTAGTCTCAAAATATATTTATAGCAAAGGGAAAGTGTCGCGGGTCAGCCTGGAACAAACCGGGTACTGAACCGCTTCCTTGGGTTGATGGGTGAGTGCCACGGTGTGTCGGAAAGTGAAGCCGAGGTCTTCATGCCGAGGTGTGCACGTGAGTCAGGATCCAGGTGAAGATCTCGTGAAGAACACGTCAAGAACATGCATGAACCCTAGTCTTTGATCCATCCTCACGTGTGTGTTCTTAAGCCATTCTGTTCTTGATTCTGGGTTTGTGACAAGCGACCTCGACATAAAATGCCGAGGGGCTTGGTAGTCGAGGGGTTTGGGAGAACAGGGTCCGGCATGCACGCCGAGGTCATTACACCGAGGTGCACGTTCAACACTTAGTCGTCTCCAGCTTTGTTTCTTACGTGTGCATGCCTTGATTCCAACGTGCCGAGGCGTCAGCACGAGGTCTAGTTCAGAATACTCCCAAAATATGAGCCTTGACTTGGCCGATGTCGAGGTAATGATGCCGAACCCTGAGAGAACACTTAGCGCGTATCGCAACTAATTTGGGCTCGTATCGACCATGTTGCCTTCCGGAGACAGTAACTTTAAACCCACGACTCCAAATGTTCTGAGACCAGTTCCATAGTCAAGATGTCTCAATAAGCTCGAACTTTGGTGAAGAAACCGTCGGAGCTTGGGAAGTGGAAGGCTTCCTGGATTCATATCTTTGCACCGTATTGGAATCACAGGAAAATAAGCTTTTTGGACCGATGTGAACTCCGGAGACTCTATCTTTCAAACCACTGCTCCGAACTAAGCGATTCTAACTGTCCTGAGAAGTTCTTCCACAGATCTCGAACTTTGATAATTCGGTCCGGAAAGGCTCCGTCCGCCGTGATCTTTGGACTCCGCCGTTCGGTTCTCAGATGCGCTTAATGTTGGTGCATCTTCCTGAAGCTATATCTTTCTCCCCACTGGTCCGAATTGGATGATTCCAACTGTTCTGGGATCTTTGCTTGATTGTCTCCAACTTTGATGAAGACCCCGCCAACTGGTTTGGACCGGAAGGTTCCCCGGATTGCTGATCTTCGAAATGCGCAGACAAGGACAGATTTTGGTCGAGAAAACCTTCCCGCGGTAAGGAAAATGGCCGAGGGCTGTGTACCGCGGTAAGCTTTTTGGCCGTGAAAATCCTTGCCTCGGTCAAAAACTTGTCCCGTGGTGTTTTTGCACGCGATACTCGATTCTGGCCGATCGGTAAGTTTTTTGGCCGGTTATGAGCGTCCGGTAAACATTTTGGTCGAGGTTTCCGACCAGCCAGTACGTGATTTGGCCGACAAATTCCTCCAAGCGGTTTTCTCCATTTATGACCCTTTTCTTCACCGTTTTCTTCTCTGCTCCTCCTCTTAAGCCCCAAATGACTTCCAAAGCACCTGATAAAGACTTCAAAACGTACAAAACTCTTTGGGACCTAATGCAAGCCCTAAATCCTATTTTCATGCCTAAAGACTCAATTTACATGGGAAAACAATTGATGAGGACTCTAAAATGCATTCTAAATGATGTAAAATATAGACATATCAACTCCCCCACACTTGTCCTTTGCTTGTCCTCAAGCGAAGAGAACAATTGAGAGAGAGAGGTTGTAATGCAGATGGAGCTCATATTTCCTTTTTAGAGAGAAGTGATCACAAGAAAACTCGGATTCATGCTCAAATATGCAATGCAAAGCTATACTCGGATATTTTCCAACTAAAACACGGAATCTCCACAAGTCATTATCACACTCAACTCTTTCACATTCATCAAGTTTGTAACCGGTGAATCAAATGATGCAATGTTCAAATAGGCTGGCTTGGCTAGGGTAAGGTCATGAGATAAAAATGATCTCATTAATATTCAAGCGGATGCATTGCAACAAGGGATCTCTCAATGAACAACCAAACTTCGGCAGAATGCTAAAGGTAAAAGGCAACCGATGCATACAAGGGCAAGACTCATCACACCCCACACTCCACTCAAAGCGTTTCTCACTTGCTCACTCTCTCAGAATCCTCACTCTTCACAATCGTTTTCTTTTTATTAGGGGATGATAGACAAGACTTTTTAAGGTCTCAGGGCTATCAATCCCCTTGTCAAAGTAGCACAAAGAGGTTAATCAATCCAAGAATGTGGTGATAGACACTAAGCTATATGATCAAGTTCTTAATTCAAGCAAACAAGAGTGGGTTTTGGTTAACTAATGACAACTAACAAACTTAAACAGGTTTAAAGACTAATGACAATGACTAATCAAGAACTAAGCAATGACAAATGATGTGAATATGATATGATGGAGGCATGAGATTCTAGACATGATAGTTGGTTAGGGTGCTTTGGTGCTAAACTAGAAATGCTAATGACAATGATGAGACATGATTCAAATGATTAAGAACTCAAATCTAGGTTAATCCTCTCATGAAGGTATTAACCCCTATACTAATCCATTTTCAAACCAAATTCCCATTTGTGAAACATGAATCAATATGCATTAACAAACAGCTCTTAATGATCATTCAAGCAAATAACAATACATCATCATGCAGAAAAATGCTTAAACCTCTAATACAGCTCTTTCAGGAATTTCATCAAACACTTTTGGTGCATGAAATTCCCAGAATCTAGATCTCAAGTGATTATCAAGGATCTAGCATAGAGAACAGCTGTTTAGAGAGATGAATCAATGAATCTAGCCCTAAGCACTCCTAATCTAACACTTTAGCACCCTAACCTACACATCTAGAACCTCATTAGGATGACTACTCACTAATCATACTAATCTCTCTTAAACCTTTGCAAGTTGAGAAGATTAGCATGATTAATGATGAGAAATGGAGATGGAGATGATAGATTCAAAAGAAAACAGCTTTAAACACCCAGATCTCTTTTAACTCTCTTCATTCAACACTCAAAAATAGATATTTCTCTTCTTAATGGAGTCTTTCACAAAAGAGGCAAGAGACAAAGGGAATCAAACTTTTTTTTCTCTCCCAAAAAACCCTAAAAAGTATTTATACTTCCTTGAAAACGAACCGGGTCAGCCCGGAACAAACCGGGTCCTGACCCGGTTTTAATGGATAAAGTGGGAATTACTGCGGGTCGGTCCAGTATGTCCCAGGTCGCACACCTAAGTCGCAGTAGATGAAGACTTGTCTTGTGAAGCCTGAATCGCCTTGTCTTAGCCGCACGCCTAAGTAGGAGTGTTTTGCGAGTGTTGCTGCGGCTTGGTCTCCTTCCTCTCCAACTCGCAGGGCTAAGGCGGTTTCTGGGGAATGTACAAACTGTGCGGGTTGGTCTCTATTGCACCTAGGTCGCAGGCTCAAGTCGGAGTGATTTGCGAGTGATCAGCATTCAGGCGTTCATCTTCAGGCTGCGGGTTAACCAAGTCGCAAGACCATCTCGCAGCATCCAGAGCAGCTTAGACCACTTTGCATTCCGGAGAGTGTAACTCCTATGAGACTTGTCCGAATTGAATGATTTCGGTTGCAGAAGACAGAGGACTCATTTATCTCCAAATTTTGTGAAGGAAGCTTCGGTGCTTGGGAAGTGTAAGGCTTCCTGGAGGGCACATCTTTGCAGTGCATGTACACGACCAGAGAGAGGCGTCTAGAGATGTGTCCATTCCGGAGACCATATCTTTCTGCTCATAGATCCGAATTGAATGCTCTTGGACGTTCTGGAAAGAAGACTCAAATGTCTCTGATTCTCAT